TTGACTTGGTTGGTGGCAATGAGGAGTCGATAATGGAATGGAATTCAAGTGAGCAAGCCCCTGGCTGCCCACCTCTCATCCACCTCTTACTGACCTTGGAGCCCAGAATCCAGTTGGTCAAACAGCTCTTCACCCTCCTCTCTCTCCAGTATGTCCCTCAGGGTGAGAACTGTCATATAGTACTGGCATCCTCCCAAGAGATTCTTCTTCCGCTTCCTCACCAGACAGAGGCAGTGGAGTCTACCAGCATCGACGATGCTTCTCACAGCAATTATATCCCCTCCAGCATCCACCTTTTGGACCACAGCTCTTGTGATCTCCTCAAATACTCTGGGCATTGGGCCTGGACCAACTAGGAAAAAGAAGCCAATTTCAGTTTTAGGGAGGAGGGTACCAGTTCCAATTTCCTAATCTTCTACCTTTGGCAGCCAGGGGGCAAGAAAGAGCTGAAGGTTCCAGGACCTGGAATGGTTTGCCTTTCCTGTTTTTAGAAGATGAGGCAGCCATGACAAAGTAAGGATGGGCAAACATCCCAGATCTCAGATTCTCCTCTGTCCCTCATGAAATCTGTCCACAGGAAAGAAAGGGTAGTGATTACCCCAAACAGGGAAAGTCAGACCCGTTTTCTTAAATGTTTTTTTTGTTTTAGTTGGGGTCTCACTCTGTCCCCCAGGCTGGAGTGCAGTGGCACACGCACGGCCACCGCAATCTCGGCTGCTGGGTTCAGGCGATCCTCCGGCCTCAGCCTTCCGAGGAGCTGGAACTCTACATAGGCATGCGTCACCAAGCCCCGCTAATGTTTTTCACTGTAGAGATGGCGTCTCACCAAGTCGCCCGGGCTAGTCTCGCCTGGACTCAGTCCTCTCGCCTCAGCCTCTCAAAGTGCTGGGATCACCACCATATCCAGCTGCGAGGTCTGCTTTCTACATCTCCCATGCAAGAGTTGCCCCCTCGTTTCAAAGGGCCTGCGGGATAGCAAGGCAGGCCAACCATCCCCCAGCCGGACGCGCACCAGTGTTCATGAACAGAGGAAGCAGGGAGGGGTGAGGCGCATGGCTGCCAGCCCTCACAGTACCTGCCCCAGCTGGCTACTCTGCTCTGATTCCTGAACTTCTTTTCTTGTTGTGTTCTGCCAGGCAGTGGCATGGGAGCCCCCCCTACCATTTCCCGGTGAGATGGTGGCACGTTGGCCTCAGAAGAAACCAGAGCTTCCCGGGATCCTCTTCCCCCATCCTAACTCTGGCCACCTTCCCCAACAATCTTTCTGCCTGGCCCAGGCGCCAACCCACCCTCCTCGCCCTTCCTGTCTCTGCCCCCATCGTTGTGGCCAACTGTCAACTCACTGCAGCCTGGGAATTCTAGGTGTCTGGAGAGACAGTGCCCAGGGACCACAGGCCCATCTCAGGAGCCACTCACCTCCTCTCTGTCTTCAACTGTTCACCAGAAATGGAGGTTAGAAGAATCCCCTCTGTTAGATCTCTGCACGGTTCCTGGTGTCTGCGTCGCAGGAAGCTATCACAATGGAACTGAAAGTAGTTCAGGTGCAGCACTTCTTGGAATGCTGGGACGGGCTGGGCACCCCACCTCCCAGCCTCTAGATAAGCCTCATTATGATGGAGCTGGAAGCAGATAACGCCAGAACCCCTTCCTTCCTCTTGGACCCTAGGAGTGGAGAAGAAATCCTAAGATACATTCTAGGTGAGTTTGGGCCAGAGAACGGTAGCAGACTGAGGTGCACCGGGCCGTGCAATTCGGTGAATCTGGAATGGAGAAATGGAATATGGGTGAGTATCAACTGAGTGCCAGCAGGCAATGGCTGTGGCTATGCCAGGGATCTGAGGAGAGTAACCCAGGTGGAGCCAGCTTCCCAAATGCCATGTTATGGTGGGCAACAATAAAAACTCAGGACAACAGCAGCTAACACCTCCTTGTAGGGAACGGCATGGCCATGTACGAGCATTCAGCCTCCCTCCCACCACGTGCTCCCACGTATCCTCTCAGGGAGATGCTTTCCTTCTTTATCTGGATGCCACCTACCTTCTCCACCCACCTCCTTCTCCAGGGAGAGGCCTCTGGCCCCACCCCTCTGTCCTCCCGCAAAGATACCCCCCCCCCCCCCCC